GCCCAGCGCCGAGGTCATGTACATGTGCAGCTCTAGGAATGCGGCCTACGTGGTGGGAGGAGAGGGTGGCACTGAAGGGCCAGCGTGGTGATGGGCACCGGATGTCAGCCACCTCGCCCTGGGGCTTGGAGGGACACCAAGAGGGCTTGGAACTCACGCCTGCAGCCACCGTGTTCACCCAGGACCCCCCTCCCCCCCGTGACCAGTGCTGTAGACAGGAACGAGCCCACTGCTCGAGCTGGGCCTGCTCTGCGCTCCGCATACGTGAGTTGGTTCATATCCAGTGTCTAATGTGAGCTTCACCACCGCCCAGGGGTTCTGTTTCTAGAGGGACATTAATCCCAGGGCATGGTGGCAGTCCTTGGGCTCCGCAGCGTGTGCCCTTCCATTCCACGTGGCGGCTGCTCAGGCAGGTGGGGGACACCAGCCATGCGCACATGAAATGGTAACTGAGACCAAAGGGCCAAGGGCTGAGTGAGAGGATGATGGCAAAGGCTACTGCTACGCAGGGAAGGGCTGGCGTAGAGCTGCTCCCTGGGAGGTGGGGATTGGGTGAGGTCTTGGAAGAGAGGCAAGACTCAAAGAGGAGATGAAAGGAAGGCATCCCAAGAAGGGGAACTAGCCTGCGCCCAGGGCAAGAGGCTGGAACAAACGTGGTGATGGTGGGGCATGAGGTGACTGCCTGGCCAGAGCGGAGGATCCTTGAACAGGAGCAGCAGGAGTGGGGACTGGACACTCTGAGGCTAGAACGCAAAAGGTCTGAGTGCCCAGCTAGGAAAGGGGGCCACTGGAGGGCACCTGAGCAGAGCATGGCAGGATGGAAACAGTGTTTCAGAAAGTGGGGTCAGAGGCCAAAGGGAAAGGCCACAGGCTGACATCAGGGAGGCCATTAGGTCCGAGCAGCCTCAGTTAGACGCCTGCAATGGGACAGGTTAGCTGAGGTGCTGACCCTTCTCGGCCCTCAGGACAGCGGGAGCTCAGGTGGGCAGCTCTGTGTTCGGGCTCCTTCCTCCGTTTCCCAGACACGGCATACAAATGGTACCGTTTTCCATGGTGCCACCATGGCCCATGCACCCGTGCACAGTCAGCAGTGGCAGGGCCTGCTCCAGGCTGTTGGATCCATGGGCTGATGATCACGGTATCCTTCTCCTCCCCCCAGTCTAAAGGATTGTGCCGTTCTCAACTCGCTCTCGATGGTTTCATCTGGCACCATTAGCCCAGTTTCCCTTTGGCTTAAGGTCTTGGCCACTGTTAAAATGCAGATGGCCTTAGAAGGGACACCACTTTTTATGTCACATGTCGGTGAACTTGAGTAGTGCTGGGTGGTGAGGGACGGCGATGTACTACAAAGGATGCCCATATGGGAGAGCCCTGACCCTCTTCACTCTCCTACAGTCTCCACACCCCAGAGAGGGGTAGGAAAAGAGAGAAGGAGACCCCGTGTGGGAGGGAGGAGAAAGATCAGGCCTGACATAGTTTCTCCCTCCTCAAAGCAGCTGAGTTTGAGACAGTCATCCCATTTCTGTCAAAAGATTTTTTTCATCCAAAGGAAGGAGAAAAAACCCCCACTATGTGCACATATATATTAATTGCAGCTTTACTTATGGTGGTGGAGAACTAGGAATAAACAAAATATCCAGTAGTAAAAGCTTGGTTAAATAATTTCTGGCAAGTCACTAACTATATCATTCATTAATAGCCAGTAAGTACGACTACTACGATTGCTAACTTTATTGCATAGTTTTACTACTTCCACTACTATTAAATTTATTGAGCAGCTACCATTACTACTACCATTACTACTATATTTACTGAGCGGTTATTAAGCTCCACTCACTGTTGTAAGTGCTGCACATATGATATCTCACTTAATCCTCACAACAATCCATTTGTATCCATATTTTTCAGATGAGGACATTGAAGCAAAGCAGTTAAATAATGTGCCCAAGCTTCTATAGCTACTATGGGATAGAGATACAAACCAAACAGAATGATTGAAGCTTAAGCTATAGAAATTGAAAAATGACAAATTACAAATTCTTTAACTCAAACCTTAATATAAAATTAAAATCAGAGACTGTAATTTGAGGGAATAAAGGTGTCGACTCAAGTGGCCTTGAGAACGGAAAGCACTGGGTGAGCTGGTGCCCTTTGTTTACATGGATCAGGAAGAAGCAAACAGTAAATATTTATGTACCAGTAACTAGAAATTTAAATTAAATCTAAACTTTTCCCCTTGCTTACTAACATCATAAAAATCCAGTTTCTAATGAATTGATATGCACAAAAGCGTTCAAAACAACGTTGATGCTATGTAAATATTTGCTATAATTGTTATTTACAAGAAAGGGCAAGGAGCTTTATTGCGACCTTCTGAGGTTTAATAGCTATCTTCCAAAGACTGGTGACGTGGCTTTAAGGCTTTAGATGTTTGCTACAGTAAGCTACATCTGTTTGAATGTTTCCTGCAGAAAACAATGTTTGATTACTTGAACTTATAAACTATGTTTATTATTGAAATTTGAATTTACTCATGGCATCCTTGTGATAGTTAAGCAGCCAAATAAGATCTAATTCCAATGAACTCAACCAGTATTTTTTTTAAAAAAAACACATAATTCTCTTGAAGTTAGAAACAGATCTAAAGATATTCCTCCTTGTATAAGTTATTCCACAAGTAAAACAAAATGAAACAGACATGATGAAGCTGCCCAGCCAGCATGGCTCAGTGGTTGAGCATCGACCTATGAACCAGGAGAAGGTCATGGTTTGATTCCCAGTCAGAGCACATGCCCGGGTTGTGGGCTCAATTCCCAGTGTGGAGCGTGCAGGAAGCAGCCGATCAATGATTCTCTCTCATCATTGATGTTTCTATCTCTCTCTCCCTTCCTCTCAGAAATCAATAAAAATATATTTTAAAAAATAATAATGAAGCTAACAGATTAACTTTAGGACACGGGTCAAAACATCAGTATCCCACAAAGGTGTCCCATGAAGGCTATGATATAACCCAGAGAAGCATGTCATCGTACACACGAAGCACTGGCTTAGCGAATAATGCAGAATGTACCCGTGGTGGTGGTGGTGGGGGGGGGGGGGGCACTGCAGGGGCTGGAGGAGGACATGTTTGATGAAAGTATAAAAGAAGGGCCCAAACAGTAAAAGAACTCATATATGCTAAGGTGTTTAATCTTTATCTTAGGCCACTCTTAAAACGTTTTTATTGCCACTGCATCAGGAAAAATACTGAGCATTCAACCCCAATACATATATGTGCTTATTCACATGTTCATTTCAACTAACTGGTTATGTACATTAAAAATGTACGTTGGAGAAAAAGAACCATATTTACTTTCTCACCTTAAGCAACTAGAAAAATAGACAAAATACATAAAACAATGGTCAACAGGTAGTGCAAGACTGTAATTGCCAAGAGAGGGAAGCAAATGAAGTGAGCCTTACAATTGTCCCAGCCTGGAGCTGGTCTCACTGAGTGAGGGGACAGAAATCGGGGTTCAAGGAGGCCAAGACAACTAGAATATGCTGGCACAATATTGGGAAAAGGGAACCACACAGAGAGAGGGAAGGAAGACGAGAAAGAGGAAGGGAGGAAGTGAGGGAGTTGGGGAGGAGGGAGGAGGACGCTAGCTCTGGAAATCTGCATAAAGGTTCCCCCAAGCCTTTGGCAAAGCATTAATCTGTACATGTCTGAAAGAAACTTCCTGGGAAACACTAGGCTGAACAGTACCTGGAGCTCAAAAAGAGCTGGGAATAATTTGTGCTTCCACCAGAAAGAGTAGGCAGATCTGGTAATACACAGGGCAGTAGGTAGAATCCTCAGAGGTGTAATCTCTTAGTACTGGAGCTACATTAGTTCCATAATAAAGTCTGCCCTGGACTTGCCATACCAGAAGTTGAAGCAAGTCCTGAAAGGATTCAAATTATCTCAAATAATGCAGCTGTGCACCAGAATAAAGTTAAAGAAATGCCACAAAATCCAGAACACAACATGCAATTCACAATGCCCAGCAGCCAGTAAAAAGTTAATGGGCAGAGTAATCCCACTTCTGGGAATATATCCCAAGAAACCAGAACCACCAATCAGAAAGGACATATGCACCCCTATGTTCATGGCAGCACAATTTACCATAGCTAAGATTTGGAAACAGACTAAGTGCCCATCAGCAGGTGAGTGGATTAAAAAGCTGTGGTAATCTACACAATGGAAGACGACACTGCTGTAATAAAGAAGGAACTCTTACCATTCACAACAGCATGGATGGACCTGGAGAGCATTATGCTAAGTGAAATAAGCCAGTTGGAGAAAGATAAATATCACATGATCTCACTCATTTGTGGAATACAATGAACAACATAAACTGATGAACAAAAATAGATCCAGAGACCAGGAAGCATCGAACAGACTGTCGAACTTCAGAGGGAAGGAAGGCAGGGGAGGGGGAGTAAGAGATCAACCAAAGGACTTGTATGCATGCATATAAGCATAACCAATGGACACAGACACTAGTGGGGTGAGGGCAGGTGCTGGGGGGTGGGGTGGGGGTGGCCGGGGAGAGGTCAATGGGGGAAAAAAGAGACATATGTAATACTATATGTAATACTTTAAACAATAAAGAATAAAAGAAAAAGTTAATGGGCAGGCTAGGCCTGTGGGCTTGTATGGCTGTAGGGGGTGGGCACCTGGGGGAGCCAAAAAGCCTCCAGCACCTGGTATTCACAGGCAGCCGCCCATTCCAAGATCAGCCAAGATCAGGCGTGTTCAGGGTGGAATGGCCATAGACACTGAGAGGAGCCTCCAGGAGCCATAAGAGCCGGTGCCCTGCCTCCAGGCCCCTCAGCCCTTGGCTGCCACTCTGAGCTGGTGCTCTCCCCCTCCCTGGGACCAGATCTCTCCCTGAGCCTTTCACCTGCTCCTTGGTCTATCTTCTGAGCTTCCAAAGGGTGCAGGAGGGCACCTCCTTTGGGATTGGGATTCCCTGGGTAGCATGGAAGGGGGTGCCCTTCCCAAATGGGTAGGATGGAGCCCCCTAAGGATCACGGAAAGGGGGTGGGGGCAGGGTCGGCACTGGCCTTCTGTCTGGGGGAGGGGTTAAAGAAAAAGAAAAAAAAAGTTATCCAGCATGAAAAGAAGCAGGAGAACACGATTCATAACTAGGAGAAAATTTGTAATTAGAAAGAGACCCAGAAATAGTAGATATGATGGACTTAGACAAACATATTACACAAATTTATAAATGTGCTTGAGAATATCAAATCAAAACAAAGCAGGTAGGATGAGGAGAGAAATGAAAGACATAAAAGAGACCCAAATGGACCTTCTAGAGAAGAAAAATATAATGACAGAATGAAAAATACAATGGGTAGGATTAACAGCTATTTTAGGCCTTTGGTTTTCCAAATAAACTTTAGAATCAGCTTCTCAATAACTTTTTTTTAAACCTGCTCAAATTTTGATTAGGATGGGAATGACAGATAAGGTCCTGCAGAAGGAAAGATCAGTGATCTTGAAGAGACAGCAATAGAAACTACCCAAAATGCAGCACAGGTTGAGAGAAAGGGGGGAAAAACAAGAACAGAGTCTCAGTGACCTGTGGAATATCACACTGTCTAAAATCTGCATAATTGAAGTGACAGGAGGGAAAGAGGAGAGAGAAAAATATGTAAAGAACGAGTGGCTGAAGTTTATCCAAATTTGATGGGAACTACCAGTTCATATATCCAAGAAGTTTAATGAACTCCAAGTACAAGAAATATAAAGAAAACCACTTGCCAGAAATGTTTTGTAGTTTTCAGTGCACAGAGCTTGCCCATATTTTGCTATATTTATCCTTAAGTGTTTCATGTTTTAAAATTTTTTCAATTACAAATTATTTGTTGTTAGTAAATAATAATACAATTGATTTTTGCATATTGACTTTACATCCTGACCTTGTTGAACTCGCTATGAGACTGATCTAAATGAGATAAAATTACAAAACTTTTAAAAGGCAACATAGGAGAAAAAACTCATGACTTTGGTAAAGATATTAGATAGGAAACAAAAAGCATGAATAATAAAAGAAAAAATTGATAATTTGAATATCATCAAAATTTAAAAATTTGTGCTTCAAAAGACAGTTTAACAAAATGAAAACACAAACCACAGACTGGGGGAATGTATCTGTACAAAGCACACCTGATAGTAGACCTGTTTCCAGAATATGTATATTACTCTTACAACTTAATAAAGAAGAAGACAAACATCTGGATTTAAAAAGTGGACTATGACGAAACCGGTTTGGCTCAGTGGATAGAGCGTTGGCCTGCGGACTGAAAGGTCCCAGGTTCGATTCTGGTCAAGGGCATGTACCTGGGTTGCGGGCACATCCCCAGTAGGAGATGTGCAGGAGGCAGCTGATCAATGTTTCTCTCTCATCGATGTTTCTAACTCTATCTCTCTCCCTTCCTCTCTGTAAAAAATCAATAAAATATATTTAAAAAATAAAAAAATAAATAAAATAAAAAGTGGACTAAATATTTGAAACTTTACAAAGATGTATAAACAACAAATAAGAAAATGAAAAAATGTTCAATATCATCAATCATTAAAGAAATGCAAATTAAGAGCACATTAAAATATCCCCATACACCCACTAGAACAGCTAAAATTAAAAAGACACCAATATCAAATCTTGGTGAAGTTGTGGAGCAACTGGAACTCTCATTCATTGCTGATGGTAATGCAAAATGATACAGCTACTTTGGAAAACAATTTGGCAGTTTCTTAATAAATTTAAACTTATCACATACCCAGCAATCCCACTTTTAAATATTTACCCCAAAGAGATAAAAACATATGTTCACATAAGGACTTGTATGCATGTATGTATAGTAGTTTTATTCAAAATAGCTAAAAAAGTTAAAAGCAACTCTAATATCCATCAACAAGTGAATGGAAAAACAGACTGTGATATATCATAAAATAGAAAACTATTCAGTGCTAAAAGGAATTTACTTATTGATACATGCAACAACATGGATAAATCTCAAAGATATTATGTTAAGTGAAAGGAAGTAACATAGAAAAGACTATGGATTATATTATTCCTTTTATGAAATTCTAGAAACTATAGTGATAGAAAGCAGATCAGTGGTTGCCAAGGATTATAAGTTGAGGGGAGGGTGTTAATGCAAAATGTGATGAGGGAACTTTTAGGGGGATAATAGAAATGTTCCCCATTTTGATTGTGCTGATGGTTACACAACTGTACACATTTGTCAAAATGTCATTGTATTCGTTGTGAGTTTTATTGTCTGTAAATTATCCCTAAACAACTTTTTTTTTAAAAAGGTATGAATAAGAACCATCTGAGAAGTATGTTAAAATCAAAATCTCAATGTCATTTTTTTTTTTTTGGTCAGTCTTCACCAGACGATATTTTTCCATTGCTTTTTAGAGAAAGTGGAAGGGAGAAGGAGAGACAGAGAAATAGAAACACTGATTGGTAGCCTCCCACACAGGCCCCAACCAGGGTGGGGGAATCGAACCTGCAACTGAGGTACAGGTACATGCCCTTGACTGGAATTGAACCCTGGACCCTTCAGTTCACAGGCCAATGCTCTATCCACTGAGCCAAGCCATCTAGGGCCCAATGTCATTTTTTAAAGAAATAGAACAAAAAAATTATCAGATTTGTATGATCCTGAATAGCCAAAGCAATCCTGAGAAAAAAGAATGAAGCCAGAGTTATCACACTACCTGATTTCAAATTTATACAGAGTAACGATAATCAAAACAGCATGGTATTGGCAGAAAAACAGACACACAGACCAATGGAAAAGAATTGTGAGCCCATAAATAAAACCACATGTATTTGGGCAAATAATTTTTGACAAAGGAGCCAAAACCACATAATGGAGAAAAGAAAGTCTCTTCAATAAATGGTGCTAGGAAAATTGGAAAGCCACCTGCAAAAGAATGAAACTAGACTACAATTTGTCCTCATATCCAAAATTAATTCAAAATGGATTGAAGACCTAATTATGAGATCTGAAACAATAAATTACAAAGAAGAAAAAGTAGGTACTAAACTCATGGATCTTGGTCTTAGAGAAGATTTTATGAATTTGACCCCAAAGGTCAAGGGAAGTAAAGGCAAAATTAAACGAATGGGACTATATCAAACTAAAAAGCTTCTGCACAGCAAAAGAAACTACCAATACAACAGAAAGGTATCAATCAAATGGGAGATGATATTTGCAAACAACAGCTCCAACAACGGGTTAATATTCAAACTATGTAAAGAACTCATACATCTCAATACCAAACAATCCAATTAAAAAAAAATGGGCAGAGGACCTGAACAGACACTTCTCCCAAGAAGACATTCAAATGGCCAACAGATATATGAAAAGATGCTCAACTTCACTAGCTCTTAGGGAAATGCAAATCAAATCAAAACTACAATGAGATACCAGCTCATACCTGTTAGGATGGCTACAAGACAAGAAATAACAAGTGTTAGAGAGGTTGTGGAGAAAAGGGAACCCTCATTCACTGCTGGTGGGAATGTAAACTGCTACAACCACTATGGAAAACAGTATGGTGCTTCCTCAAAAAACTTACGAATAGAGTTACCATATGACCCAGCACATCTTCTGGGTATGTCCTGGAAAAACTTGAAAACATTTATTTGAAAAGTTATATGCACCTCTATGTTCGTTGCAGCACTATTCATGGTGGCCAGTACATGGAACAACCAAAATGTCCTTCGATAGATGGTTAGATAAAGGAGATGTGGTCCATATATACTATGGAATACTACTCAGCCATAAGAAAAGATGAAATACTGCCATTTGTGACAACATGGATGGACTTTGAGAATATTATGCTAAGTGAAATAAGTCAGTCAGAAAAAGCTAAGAACCATGATTTCACTCATATGTAGGACATAAAACTGAAACGCATAGACAAAAGACAATAGTATGGCCGTTACCAAAGGGAAGGTGGTGGGGGGTAGTAAAGTGTAAAGGAGGCCAAATATATGGTGACGGAAGATGATTTGACTTTGAGTAGTGTGCACACAATGCCATCTACAGATCATGTGTCATAGAAATGCACACTTGAAACCTATATAATCTTATTAACCAATGTCACCCCTATACATTTAATAAAAATCTATAATAATAAAAGTGTAATATGCTAATTAGACCAGATGTCTTTCATTCCAGACAAAGTTGCTGTGGGGGTGGGGGGCGGGGGGCTGAGGCAGAGGCGGCAGAGGCCCCTGGCCACAGTGGTGGCGGGCGGGGGCTGGGGCCAAGGCTCTTGCACGAATTTCGTACATTGGGCCTCTAGTAAATAAATAAAGGACTAGCAATCTGTGGGAATAAAATAATTTTTAAAAAAGGTATGAATAAGAATCACCTGAGAAGTATGTTAAAATGTTTGTTCTTGGGCCTCCACCCAGAGAATTTGCTTTGAAAGTTCTCAGGTAAGGCCTTGAAATCTAAATTTTCAACAAGTATTCACTTTGAATGAAAAGAAATGTCATGAAAAAGAGAAATTAGAAAAAAGAAGAGCATACATGTTTATAAAACATGAATAAGAAAAAATACCTGAAGGAAATCTTTTAAAATGCCTGGAATAGACAAGATAGCTGGATGGATTATGAATGATTTTTTTCTCCTTTATGTTTTGTTTCACAAAATGTTACATTTAAGTGGAAAATAAAAGCAATCCTCTCTCCCCCACATTTTTTATAGAAATAGAATAATCTAAACACCTTCTCACAAAGACCCGGCCCCACTCCCACCCTCCTCAGGCTCTGTCCCTCTCCTACCCTCTTGAGGCTCCTCGGCCTGGTCCATCTCCAGTTTGGTCAGCAGGCTCACAAACCACTCAAAAGACCGCTGGTCTCGGTTGATCCAGATGAAGTCCACCTAGAGAGAGGGGCCCTTCGGTTCTGAGGTGGGGCCTACCAAGTTCACAGCTCATGTCTGCTCCCCAAGGCCTGTATGACCACCCTGGCATGATCGGGGTACACATTATCATCCCCATTTAAGGAGGGGGAAGCTGAGGCTCACAGAGGTGAGGAGCCTTGACCAGGCCACAGAGCAGCATGGGGCCAGAACCCAGGTTTCTGACTGTTGGGTCAGGATTTTCTATAATAATCTATTGTTAAAGCAAGCAATGTACTGAGATTGTAAGCATAGGACAGCCAGAAAAACATTACTTATTTATTTTTTAAAATCCTCACCCAAGGATATGTTTTTATTGATTTTTAGAGAGAGGGGAAGGAACAGAGGGAGAGAGAGACATCAGTCTGTTGCCTACTGTAAAACACCGTGACTGGGATCGAACCTGCAACCTAGGTATGTGCCCTGACTGAGAATTCCACCTTCTGGTGTATGGGATAATGCTCCAACCAACTGAGCCACACCGGCTAGGGCCACAGTACTTATTTTTTTAAGAAATTCTTGCCTGGACAGCATGGTTCAGTGGTTGAGCATTGACCTATGAACCAGGAGGTCACAGTTCGGTTCTAGGTCATGGCACATGTCCAGGTTTCAGGCTTGATTTTCAGGAGGGGGCATGCAGGAGGCAGCCGGTCAATGAGTCTCTCTCATCATTGATGTTTCTATCTCCCTCTCCCTCTCCCTTCTTCTCTGAAATCAATAAAAATATATTTTTAAAAGAAATTCTTTGAAGTGGCCTAGTCAAAATAATACATTTTGAAAAGGCAAATGTTTTCATTTTTAAAACCACCACCAGGTGATGGCTAGTAAGCATCGGCTATAACTGGATCCAGACTGCCCGACTTTCAAGCTCCTTGGTCTTTAATGAGATGCTGTCTTCAGAACATCTCTCAGGGGTGAAGAGGGGTGATGGAAGGGGGGAGGCCTGGACACTTAGGAGGCACCAGGAAATGCAGGGCACTGAGGGAAGGGTAGGGGCCAGCAGATCCCAGCAGGAGGGCCTGGCTCCTGTTCCAGATGGTCTCCCAGGGAGAGGGGTCCCGGCCTGCTGCGGAGGACCATGCTCACCTTGTGGAGCTTCATGTCTTCGTCCTGGATGCCCTCCATCCAGCAGTGCTGGCAGTTGGGGCAAATGTGCTTTCTCTTCTGGTACCTGAGGGGAGGCAGGAGCGGGGGTTTTGAATTTGGGATGAGTAGGAGGCTTTAGGACCTCAGAGTACCGTGCAGGGGACAGGGAAGGAGGATGGGGTGACAGAACCCACCCTATGAGGAAGGAGAGGGATGAGACCCCGAAAAAAGAGGCTGCATGAGCAGGGGAGGAAAGGGAGAAAGGGGGAAAGGGAGATACTGAAAGGAGAGAAGGGAGCGGGGAGGGGAAGAGAAGAGGGGAGGGCTCTCTCAGGACTCTGCTGCAGGCCACCCACCTGTACACGATGCTCTGCAGGATGGAAGCAAAGGGCGTGATGCCAATGCCCGCCCCGATGAGCACGGCATGCTCAGAGGCGAAGATCCTGCGGGTGGGGGTTCCATAAGGGCCATCGATGTAGCACTGTGCACCGGAGAGGTTGGAGGAAAGAGAGTGGTGAGTGGGTGCGGGGAGAGCTGGACCCCAAGGCTTTAGGACTCCCTTTCTACACAGGCAGTTGTCTCCTGGCCTGGAACCAGGTCTAAGCTCTGTGCTCTGAGTTCACTTCTGGGAGAGCCCTAGAATCTCAGAATGCAGAGCTGATGGGAGCAGGGCTCCCCCAGCACCCCTGTGTGCCCCTGGGCCTGGAGGGTTTGGTTCCATCTTCTGGACATCTGGAAATCAGCCCGGGGAGAATAGAGGGGCTGGGGCAGGGGATCCCGGAGCCACTCACCTTGATGTTACAGAGTTGGTGGTTCTCAGGGGGCATCTCAGAGACCTGCGAGGAGTACAGCAGTGGGCTGTGGGTCTCTGGGAGTGGGCATGGCAGGCGTTTCTCAGAGGCTTCCGAGCGCTTGCCAGCCTGAGCGACTTCACTAAAGGGGCATTGCCTTTTCTGCCCCCACCATTCCAGGGAGCATGGTGCCCTTCTGGGAGAGAACATCAGGGGTGTTCTGGAAAATTCACTCACTCTTCAGCAACAGCAACAAAACTCCTGCATGTTAGGTTTGCTGATTTCTGGTGTGAATAGCGCTGTGATGGCTCCCACCAAGGTCTGCATTTAATAACTGGCTCTCAGAATTCCTGGGACTTAACCATCAGCTCTTGCAGGCCATTACCAGTCAGCTTCAGGGTGTGACCAGACACATGTTCGACTCTGTCTCTAGCCCCTCCCAAGAACTGTCACGTCTCTAGACAATTCCCTGCCCTGAACGTTCCTTCCCAAACACCCTTTCCCATGGCCCAGCTGGCCAATTCCTGTGCATCCTTCAGTGTCCAGCTGCTGTGAAGTGGTCGCTCCTCCTTGAAGCTCTGCCCAGCTGACCCAGGCAGAAAGCCAGTGGCTGGCCGACCAGAGCCCCCTGGGACAGGGAGCAGGCCTGCCTGACTCCTCGGGGCCTGAGCAACAGCCGGCAGACAGACTAGATTTGTTGAGGTCAAATTCTGGAGGTGAAGGAAGCAGACCCCCCAGCAGGCTACAGGGTCCTGTGCTAACTCCCTCTCTGGCACCAGAAGGCAGAGTTAGGAGGGACCTTCACTGTCATCCAGGCCAACCCCTCATTTCACAGAACGGCTGCGTCTGAGAGCGCACTAGTGACTCGCCCAGCCCTCCCCCACCCCCGCCCCACCCCCAGCCGGGGCAGAGCCCGGTGTCCTGGGGCCTGGCCAGTGTTCTTCACACGGCACCTTTGTCTGAGGAGACGGAATGCTGTGTTCCCGACGTGTTGGATGTGAAGTGCTTCTGGTGACTTTGGGAGATAGACTGTGAGAGACCTAGACCTTTCTATGTGTTTTAATCCCTCTGATTGCAAAGAGAAAGCCCTACATTATAATTTCTATGTCTTTAGCATTTACTAATCCCTCCTCTTTTTTTTTCTTTTAACAAAATGAGGAAGAGAGAGAGAGAGAGAGAGAGAGAGAGAGAAGAGAGAATGAGCAGAGCAGTGGAGTGCAGCTTCAGGCTCCGAGCCTTGGCAGGCAGAAACATCTGGTAAGAGTCTAATAACATTGGTTTTCGTTGTTTTTACTCTTAGAGCTACTGTCTGTTTCTGGCATAGGATATCAGTTTCCCACTAACAGTGGCCATAAGGAGAGTCCTTTTTAAATACAAGTAAGTTAAAGTAATGTTGGGATACAAAGGGAACTGTGAGGTAGGAAATATTATGGTGGGAAGTGAGTATGGCAAAGGTGATGAGGGTGGGATGCAGGTGACTGTGCAGAAACACGGTGAAATGTGAGGTCTTCCTGCACGTGGCTGCCCTTAAGGCCCTCTCTTCCAAGTTCCAAGGAGCCGCCACCCCGGGGAGACAAACCACTGGCTCCCCAGCCTCCAGCCCGGCTTCCTCAGTCCTACCACTTACCAGAACCCGGTTGCTGGCCGAGGCTCCGCACCGTGCCTGAGTCCTGGCCTGTGTCCCTGTGTGCTCCAGGCCTTTGCCCCCCTGCCACGGAGCTCCCTCGCACTTGTAGGATATCAGCTCCACACTGACGTCCTTGTTGGACACCACTGCTCCCTGTGCCACGGCCTTGGAATAAATGGGCTGGGATTGCAAATCCTTCTTGGTTTCAAAATGGGAATTGGTTTATTATTTAAATCACAAAAGTAATACATTAGTTTTAAAGATTCAGATATTACAGAATGTTAACGAATAAAGTGAAAAGGGGCCTGAATCAGGTAATATGACTTCTTTAAACATTTTCTCTATGTCCTTCTAGACTTCCTCTCTCTCCACCACCACCCTCTCTCTCTCACACACACACACACACACACACACACACACACTCTTTTACATAAATGGAACATACTGCTTTGTAATCTGGCTTTTCCTCTCTTACATAAATGGAACATACTGCTTTGTAATCTGGCTTTTCCACTTTATTATATCTTAACTAGGTTTAATCGGTAACTTATTTTGCTACTTTCCTATTGTGGAATTTTGATTATCCTTATTTCCTCATTATTGTTAACAACTACCATGTACAAAATAGCACCTTTTCCATCTCTATCCTTTACTCCAGCGATTTTCAACCCGTGTGCCACAAGAATTTTTAAAATATGCAATACCTGAGTAGTTAGTTAGGGGCACAGACCTCTTTTCTCTTAGATTGCGGAATGAAAAAATGACAACAGCCAACACAACAATAGCAGTCAGGTGTGAATGCCCTGTCTTGAACCATAAATATATAGATCATAGCCCTAGCTGGTTTGTGAACTGAATGGTCCCGGGTTCAATTCCAGTCAAGAGCACATGCCTGGGTTGCAGGCTTGATTCCTAGTGTGGGGCATGCAGGAGGCAGCAGATCAATGATTCACTCTCATCATTGATGTTTCTATCTCTCTCTGTCTTGCTTCCTCTCTGAATCAATAAAAGTATATTTTAAAACAAATATATAGAACATATAATAGTGTTGCATTTTTAAAAAAATATATTTTATTGATTTTTTTACAGAGAGGAAGGGAGAGGGATAGAGAGTTAGAAGCATCGATAAGCTGCCTCCTGCACACCCCCCACTGGGGATGTGCCTGCAACCAAGGTACATGCCCTTGACCGGAATCGAACCTGGGACCTTTCAGTCCGCAGGCCGACGCTCTATCCACTGAGCCAAACCGGTTAGGGCATAATAGTATTGCATTTTATTAGTCATGTTCAATAATAAGGTTGCATCTGATTGGTTAATTCTTGGTACCAGAAATTCTTATATACAAGTATAAACACCTGATTTTTTAAAAAAGTTACTTTGGAGCAATGAGGGTAGGTAATTACTATTATTATTATTATTTTTTGTAAACCAACCAAAACTATACCTATTTTTGTCAGATCAGCAAAAAATATAATACATTTTTTTGTGTGCCACAGCATTTTAGTAATTAGCTTATGTGTGACATGATATGAAAAAGGTTGAAAATTGCTACTTTATCTTGATTTATTTTCATAGCATTTATTATCACTTGACACTGTATCTATTTTATTTGTTTATTGGTTGTCTCTTCAGAACATAAGCATTGAATGTATCTGCCTTGCTCACTGATATGTCTCCAGCATCTAGTACAGTACTTAGGAAATAGTAGGTGCTATGCTCAATAAATGTTTGCTAAATGAATGAATGAATGAACAAGGTGGTTAAGGTATTCTTGTGCACCTGCCCAACTAGCTTTTTAGAATAAATCCCTAAAAATGGAATTGCTGGGCCAGTGGGTATAGATATTTAAAATGCTGACACTTACGGCCAGACTGCCGCCAGAAAGATTGTGCCGATGTATTTTTTGGCAGAGGTGTGTCAGGTCCCAAAGGAAACACAGCTTTAACAATTCCCGGTGTGCCATAACTCACCTAGCTTCAAAAGGCAGCTTCCTCCTTCAGGAAGTTCCCCCTGGTTAACAGTAGACAATGCTCTCTCATTTCTACCTGCCCCTCCATTTCCCAAAGCGTTGCTCTTGGCACCATTCCAGGAGGGCTCTCTGGTCTGACCGGGCAGGATTCCCCCTGGTTTCCCCCTGGACTTCAAATCCTTCCAGGGCCAGGCAGGGCAGGGCCAGGCCTGGGGGCTTCTCTTCTTTTGACCTTCCGCAGGGTTTGCAGCCTGGTGGTACAGCCCACTAAGTGTTCAGGCGCCCTCCGTCTCCTTCATCTATTCTTCCTCAGGTGCTGCTCTGATCTCTATGTATTCCTACCAAACCCCACTGAGCCTGTATGTGCCCCAGGCACTGGCAACTCGGAAGGCTTGTGGATTTCATCCAGGTTCAAAAAACAACGCTGATGCCCTAGCCAGTTTGGCTCAGTGGATAGAGCGTCAGCCTGTGGACTGAAGGGTCGCAGGTTCGTTTCTGGCCAAGGTCACATGCCTGGGTTGCAGGCTCGATCCCCAGTAGGGCATGCAGGAGGCAGCCAATCAATGATTCTCTTATCATTGATGTTTCTATCTCTCTCTCCCTCTTCCTTCCTCTCTGAAATCAATAAAGAAATATATTAAAATTTTAAAAAAACATAAAAAACAACAACGCTGATGCTAATGTGGGTGGTGTTGACGGTGATGATGAATGGTCCATCTGGACCATGCTGCCCAGGTCACTCAATATTTTACAGGCATTCATCCCACTGGCCCTTTAAAAGAACCATGTGAGAAAGGGAAGTCAATTCGTAAATGAACAACCTAGGACTCAGCAAGGTTAAAGGATGAGCCCATGGCCATACAGTTAGCAAGTGCTGGAGCAGAGACGTAGAGGTGAGTTTTTCTGATCTCAGTTTTCCCTCTCTTTTCTTTGTCCCCCACCTTTTAATGGAGGGCACAGACTGGGGAGGGCTGGGGGGATCAAGATTTGAGAAGACTCTTAGACCACACAATGCGGAGCTGCCTTGGTCCTCACACTGCCTCTCAGCCAGTGTGCACGCTGCTGCTCAACGGCTGGTGCCACCAACCAGGCAGAAGGCAACTTGGTCCCCATGGGTTTGCCTCCATGGTGGGCCCTTCCTTCCCCATAGCACCTACCTGGGGCCTCCTCTGGCTCATTCTCATTCTCAAACTCCTCGACAGTCTCTTGGTGTCACAGTCCACTGGGTCTGATGCCTTGAAGGACTCATAGAGCCTGTTTGTCCACTGGCCTTCCGAGCGGATGTGTAGCCAGATGGTGTCTGAACAAGAGATGGGGGAGAGGATCAATGCTGGAATCCAGCGAGGAGCAGGCCCGGCTCACCTGAGAAATTGGGGCTGGGTGTCCGCTGCTCAAGTCCTGGGTTGAATGTCCTCCCTCAGATCTAAACTAGCGCCACAGCCACAGGACATGGAGATCTGATCTCCCCTTTGCAAATTTTCTCAATGAAGTCAATCTAAGCCTACACAGTAAAGGCTCCGTCTCCTCTGCCAAGGCAGGGTCAGAGCTGCCCTGAGCACACCAGGAGCTCCCTGGGGTGGAGTCCCTGCCTCCTCCTTCAGGCCAGAGTCTCACTACGATGGAGACCATCTCCCTCCCACATTCAGCCAGGTGCCTGTCAATGGCTCTGCACATAGTAGGTGTTTAACTGGTGGTGGGACCAATGTCTTTAATTGTACCTAGTGCCTGGGATGTAGCAGGTACTTTCTAAGGTTCTCTGTTGAGTGGATGACTGGCGGAAAGGTAGTGTGGGGTGGCCACCCTTCTGCTGAGGGGGACCAGAGAGAATCCACAGCATTAGACTGAGGAAGCCCCTAAGAGACCTCCTTTTTCTATTCTTTTAACCCAGGGACTGTTTGGGCAGCTCTGTGAAGGCAGTGGATAGACTCCTCACAGTAAGGTTCTTAAATACATAAAGTAACATACGTAGGCATTGCAAATGAAACCAGTTATGATGAGAAAGTTATCAAAATTTTTTTTAAAAAAACCAAATGTGTGATTTAGGAATGTATGCGCTTCTTTGTTAACACATGAAATAACTCCTGCTGGGGAGTTGCATGGCCACTGAAATCTGAAGTAATGATGAGGTATCAGCCACAATTGCCCTGTGATATAAAGGAATCTATGGCTTTTATTTAGAAAAAGTCACAGGTATTGTTAACACTATTGTGGGTTATCTGCATTCCTAAATGAAGGAAAGGCTAAATTTCAATTAGAGGTTAGTGAAAATAAAGATGCCACCCGCCCCCCCCCCTTCCAAATCACAAATAAACTGGTTCAACCCTGTATTTACAGAGGCCCAGAGCGGCATGTTCTCACAGCTTTGTGAGGAGTGACCTGAAAAGTCAGGACTGGAGCTCAGGTCCTCAGACACCTCCTCCCATGCTCCTCTCTCAGGCTTCCTCCCCCTTCAGGCTATAAGTGCGTGCGCGTGTGCGTGTGCGTGTGTGTGCGTGTGCGTATGTGTGCGTGTGTGTGTGTGTGTGGGGGGGTGGTGGTGGTGGCTATGCCTCTCTACACAAATGCATCCTGAAGTGCCTCACACAGTGACTCACACGTAGGAGGCCCCCCTAAATGTCAGTTGCATTAAAACAGCCACAGCTGCCAACCTGAGGCCCACTCCTGATTTCTGTAAACAGCTTCGTAAACAAAGCCAGAGTATTTTCCAGCTCCCATGAGGACTCAGCTCACTGCAGGAGACTCACGGCCCACGAGAGAGGTGGATTCCACACTGAGAACCTGAAGAAGCCCCTTTAAGAACTGGTCAAATAAATGACCCATCCACATAATAAACATAGTCATTATAACCAGAGTAGTAGCGATAAACTGGAATACTATGCAGTCACGAAAAAACTGGCATGCAGAGATTTTCATGACACACGATTCACTGAGGAAAAGTTGGCTGCAAAACAGTGGGAACAGTGTAATCCCAAATATGCAAAGTTGTCTCTGCATCTGACTATCCATGTAGATGTACCGGCTGGAAGGCTATTCACCAAAAGATTGACAATAGTTTTCTTTGAATGGAATTATTTGAGGGATTTTAATTTTTTAACTATGATATTTTTATTTACTGATTTTAGAGAAAGAGAGGAAGGGGGGTAGAAAAAAAAGGGTAAGGGAGAGGGAGAAATATTGACTCGTTCCATTTACTTTTATGCATTCATTGGTTGCTTCTTGTATGTGCCCTAACCAGAGGCTCTGACCCACAACCTTGGTGTATTGGGATGACATGCTAACCAACTGAGCTACCCAGCCAGGGCCTTTAGTTTTCTTCTGTACAGATTTCTATATTGTCTGAATTTTCTGAGAGCATATATCTTCTTTAGAAAACAGGTAAAGGAAGAAAAATAGAAAGAAAATAACCCACCCTCTCCAACCTTCATCCCTGTCTTCATCCCATTCTACATCCAGGCCACCAATCAAGTCATTCAAGGCGGGGTTGCTGAGCAGCCTCATGTGGGGGGGAACTCTGGCTTTGCATCTGCACCCTGAGCTCTGGGGGCTGGGTCCTGTGGGCTCTGGTTAGGAGGCATCCTACGTGAAGCTAAATCTTTTCATAGGGATGAGTCAGAGAACCGCTTTACCCCTCATGAAGCCAAGCAAGGGTCTCAGTGTAACAGGCCACTCAAGGCCTGTCCTGTCAGAAGCACCACTTGAGGTGGGAAGGCCAACCTCTGGCCTGGCAGGAGCGCAGAAGTCTGGATGCTGGCTCCGACAACAGCCCGGGACCAGAAGGAAGGCACACACATGGGGGTGGGGGGTAGTGTCCGAGAACAGCTGTGTGAAGGAAGGGCCAGCTGAACGGTCCTATGGGTGCTGGGGACCCGCAGAGAAACGGAGTAGTGCAGGGGTGGGGCAAAGGGTGTGAGGGAGTCTGCTGCCTGGGGGTCCACCAGCTCATGCCCACAGGGAGTGGGGAAGCCTGGCTTCTTGGCACAGACCCCTGGTACCCCTTCCTGTGAGCCGGCTGCTCCTCTGTTGAAGACCTTCGTGGGCTCCCAACTGCTGGGCATTCCAGCTTCCAACTCTGCATTCAAAGGCCTCCTTGGTCCCACCCCACCTGTAATTGGCTTTGCCAGCCACATTGTCTGCCTTTCATCCCTCTTCGACCCTCTCTCCTGTCCCCCATTCTCTCTGTGTGTGTCCCTCCCTTCTTTCCTCCCTACCCCACCCGACCCTTAGCTCTAACAACATCAGATGTTCCATGTTTCTAGGTTTTCATGCTTTTGCCTATGCTTCTCCCCTCTGCCTCCTCCCCATCTCCTTCCCTGTCTACTAAACTACTAACCTTTCAAAGCTCAGCTGAAATGCCACAGGCCTGCGAAGCCTTGACTACTTATCCCATCATGTCAGGCCCACCCCTGTGAGCTTCGCAGTAGCTGGAACAGCTCTGACCAGGCCATTCACCGTGTCTACCCATCTGCCTCCTTGTTTCAGAGGGAGCTTTTGGAGATGGACTTTGCACGCCTGGTTTTGTTCACCTCCGTGTGACTGGTTTCCAGGCTGCGCTTGGTGCACAGTGGAACTCAGTAAACATCTGAACGATGGGAGGACTTGGCGTACCTTTCTGCTCCGGAGCACTGCTGATGGTGAAGGGGTGCCACTCGTAGCGCGCGATGGTGGGGATGTTCAGATACAAGTAGTCGCCAGGCCTGTAGTTGAAAAGGGGGGGCCTCTTGATGAGGAGATGAGTCACCTGGGGAAAGAAGATCCGCATCATTCCTCTGCCATAAATCAGAACTATGGCAGGTGCCCTCTTTATTCTGTATGTTAGATGGGCACATGTCACATGTGGTTCTTGAGGTGTCCTGAGACCTTTCTGTGCCTATGAGTGGGGACCACCCCTGCAGCACATCTGCTAACCAGGGCTGGGCAACTATCAGAGAAGGGAGGAGTCAGGCTGTGTCTGAAGTGGGGTTCATGGCTTGATTCTACTTCTTATGGTGTAAATGCTGCTTTTTAGTGGCCCCCTCCTCTGTGAAGCCCTCCCTGACTGTTCTAGCCTCTTTCTTGGAACTCCTGTAGCACTTGGCCAGCATTCTAGCCCTTGGGATAATAACATCATCCTGGATAATAGCGTCAGTTTACTGAGCACTTTCCTGTGTGCCAGAGCTCTAAGGAGCACTTTAAGTGTTCTCTCTAGTTCTCACAGTAACTTGTCGTACTCGCTCCACGTTCTGGATGGAAAGCTGAGGTACAAAGAGGTTAAATAGCTTGCTCAAGGCCATCAGCCAGGAAACCATGGCATTTGAATCCCATAATTACTGTCTGATGCCAGAACCAGGACATAAACCACAGCCTCATTATTTAACCTCCATGTCCTCACACTCAAGTTGTCCAGAGCCCTGCCCACCCTAAACTGCCTACCCTTTCTCCGTAAATGGCCCGAGTCACTCAGACACCTGGGAGATGTCCTAGCCTCCTTTCTCTCTCTACCCTGAAATGCATCTAGTTGCCTTTTGAGTCCTTCTGTGATATGCCCTCTCCTCATCCCACAGTCACTGCCCCAGTTCAGGGTCAAGGCCCTGATGAGCTCTTATCTGCATTTGCGCAACAGTTTCCCAAATGGTCTCCTCCAAGCCACCTTCCACAGAGCAACTAAAAAATTTAGCTGGAACAGATATCAGCTTAATACCACACTCTCTTCCCCACCCTGCTCAGGGGTTCCCTGGGGCCTGCAAAGGGAGGCTAAATTCACCACTAGACCCTGCTCACCCCTTCAGCAATGCCCTTCCATGTGTTGTCAATCCAACAAACTCCTGCTCATCTCTCAAAGCCCTGATATGGCATCTCCTCCCTCATTCTGAAGTCCTCTCTGGCCTCTCAAAGACAGAGTTTGAGTCCTCCTGGAACTGTACTTCTCTTACCAACACAGCCCTGCACTATAATGAAAGGACTTATCGTCTACTAGCCTCGGGAGCCGTGGAGAGCATGACAGTGCCTGAGCCTTTTCTGTGTCTGTCACCTAGCACAGGGCCTCCTCCTCATAGCCATTCACTACATGGTAACTGAGCATGTTCTTTGCAGACCTGGCTTTTAGTGGTAGCCTGCCATTCCGCTTCCTATAGTGTCACTGCTGAAGGGCTGGACTGGGTCTTGCACGTTGCTTGTCTCCTCCACTGGGCTGGGGCTCCCTTTCCCCTTGGGGACCAAACAGGATATCCAGCTGCTGTGCCCTACCACCATCTGCATCTCCCCGTGGCCCCTCAGGCCCTCTTTGCACCTTGGAGGGGAGCAGATTGACTTCCACGATGCTCAGGGCTGCCATGCGGGACACCGCCAGCCCGACGGCCTTCTCCAGGAAGAACAAGATGCCGGGGACCAGCAGCCACTTCCAGAAGTTGGGTCCATGCAGGATGAGCAGGAGCCACATGGGAAGGTAGGACAGATGGGTCCAGTAGAACACCTGTGGGGGTGGGGGGCATAAGTCGCTAGAGTTCAAGGCAAGGCCAGGGCTCAGGGCCATCCTCAAAGCCAGGATGGTGCCCAGAGTCTTGGCCACACACACCCTCTCCTGGGGACTGGGCTGGGTAAGAGGCTGGGAAGCTTCCTCGCTTCTTTGTTCTGGGGACTTGGCCCACGGAGCCTGTAAGGGAAGTTTCCTGGTGCCAGCAGGCAAACATCTGAAACATCCTCCTGGGGGTGTTCTGGGCAGCGTGGAGCACCCCCAAAGGCCTCGTAGCACTAATGTCCCATCGCACTGACCCTTTCTCCGGGGAAAGAAAGGCAAGACAACAATGGTTTTCTGGGAATGGAAAAGAAAAGGGCCGAGGACTGAGCTTTAATACGCGCTCTGCTACTCCCTTGGGACCTCGGCTTAGTAAATGACATTTCTGAGCTTTCGATTCCTCATTGTTAAATGAGGATGCTGGTTCCTACTTCAAAGGGCTGGTGCTGGCCCAGAGTAGGTGCTCTGTGTACGTCTATTCCTGATGTGACCAGGTCAGTCCAGGGACAGCCAGCGTCTCCAAACTAAATCCTCTGTGACTTCCTGTGTCTTGAGGAGGTTAGAGAGAGGGAAGCAAAGATAAAACTAACATTTTTGGAGCACTTCTGTTCCAGGTAGGTAGTTACTGGCTTCACATACATTTTCTCGTTTAATTACTAAAATAACATCAAAAGTCGAAGATTATAGCTTTACTTTGCAGATGAGGAAGCTGAGTGACTGTAAATCGAGGGGTGGGAATTAGAACCCTGGGGGCCTGTGTTCCTTCACCTCCCTATGCCATCTTGAGCCCAGTTTAATCAAACTAGGGGATGAGCCAGAGAAAAGGCAGAATCTTCTAGAGCAGTGGTTCTCAACCTTGGCTGCACATTAGAATCACCTGGGAATCTTTTTAAAATCCTGATTTCTGGGCCTCATCCTCCGGAAATTCTGTTTCTTTGTTATGGGGTGGGGCCACAACATTAGTAACAAAGAAACAGAATTTCCGGAGATGAGGCCCAGAAATCAGGATTTTAAAAAGATTCCCAGGTGATTCTAATGTGCAGCCAAGGTTGAGAACCACTGTTCTAGAGCAAAACACTTGCACTTGGCAGACATTAACAACAGCCCAATGGCAGAACCCAAATCACATGCACATCATATGCATCCTAGCCTGGGACCTTCATGGGCTCTGGGAGTACGTTAGAGGGGGCACGGCATGAAATGAGATGGGAGCCCAGCCTGGGAGAGGCAAAGGGGGCAAGGGCTGGGCACCTCAAAGTGGCCGCTCCTGCGGATGCAGGAGCTGGAGCAGGCGAACATGAGGAGCAGCAACAAGAGGAGAGCCACGCCGGTCGGGGAGGCCAAGCCATGGACCCAGCCAATGCCAGGCCTCGTGGTGAGCAGCAGTTCCCAAAACTGGAAGGGGCTGGACTCAGACTGGGCCTGGAGCACTGGAGACAAGCACAAGAAAAGCTCTTCCCACTCCACCTTCCTTTGTGGTCCCCATCTCTCCCCACCAGATCCCCATGAGGGCGGGGACTTTTGTCCAGAGTGCTGGCTTATCGGGGGCACCACTTCTCCACTCATTAGGCAGGCAGGACACACAGGGACTGGATAACTGAGTGGTTGGGAAAGGCTCAGGTCCCACCATCCCCCCAGCCCCAGGCCACTCACCAAAGTTCACAACGTGGGCCACAGTGTGCACCAGGGAGAGCCCGACCACCACATAGCCCATAAGCTGGTGAAACTGTATGTTCCGGTCCAGGGGCAGGACCTGAGCCAGCCACGTGGCCCGCAGCCACGTGAGGCAGCGCCTAAGCATCAGCACCTGCAGGACAAAGGGGCCGAGATCCCCACCTGACTCTCGCTCTGCCCTGTCCTCCTTCCCCAGCAGCGGTCTCCCTGCCTCCCTCGAGCTAGCTGTGCTTCCTGAAGGGCCCCATCACCACCCCCCCACCCCCAAGCCTTCGCTGCTCTCCTGGGTCCACAGCTGGGGTCTCCGAGGTAGGGTCTCCGGGATGGGGGTGGGAAGAGAAAATGTTATAGAATGCCTGCTGGTACTGCTTCTATCTAAACACATGAGAAGCACTGACATTTAATACCTGCATTGACACGATGCCCTCTTTATCCTGTATGTTAGATGGGCACATGTCACATGTGATTCTTGAGGTGTCCTGGGAAAGACCTGGCTTTCCGAGGGGCACCTGACGAGGGCTCCCTCACTTGCTCATTTCCTTTCAATGCAATTACCGCACACAGATATGTGGACTTGCAGATTGCATTGTCCGGTTTTAACGTAAACTAACCATGCTTCACAGAAGTGGCAAGTAGCTTAAAAAGATTCACAGCAAAGAAAGTGAAGATTGAAAACAGAGTTGATAATGCAATAGCAAGTTACTAAGAAAATGAGCCATGTGTCTCCCACTCCTGGAATGAACTCTTTGTAGGCAGTTAGGAGGTTAAAAATACAAGCCACTCTAAGAAGCTGATATTCTCAAGAAGAGTGTTTGAACTAGAGATGTACATCCCTGACCATTAAAAACGACCCTTGCCTTACAGCTATATTGTGGTATAAGTCGATTGGCTAATGATAATAGGGCATGCATATAATTATAAGTAAATACACATGTATTGGGTTGTTGGAAGGGTCTTCTGTTTTGTTTTAATGGTAGGAGTAGGCAAAAATGCTTGGTGACCGAATTCCCTGGCCCAGCGGGTTCATTATATCAACTCCTTAGCCTGGTATGCAAGGCCTCTTGAAGGGTTCTCTCTGGTGGGAGCCCTGCCCAGGAGCCAGCCCCACCTCCTCCAGATCCACTCTAGTTTTGTTGTGCCGATCCAATGGAAAGTGCTTAGCACCCTGATGGGTACCTAATAAAGGGCACAAAAATGCCAGCTATGTTATTTATGTGCTGTGTGACTACGGACAAGTCACTGCCCCTCTCTGGGCTTCAGTCTCCACCACTGAGTAATGACCCCGATTTCAAAGGTGCCATCCTGCCCTGGCACTCTACGTCCACCGTGTGGGTTGTCTATGAGGAGCCTACATCGGTGCCCCTGCCCGCTTCCCTGCATTGTACCCTCGGATTCCTACCGCGATGAAGCTGCAGTCGAAGTTGAGGCACTGGCCGCAGCCCTTGGCCACCATGACGCTGATGCCGAGGGCCCGGTGCGCATTAGCTGCCAGGGCGAAGAGCAGCACATGGAGGCCCGCGTAGGCGGCCAGGCAGAGTAGCTGGCTGCGGTGATTGTGCCAGTAGGCAGAGGTCAGTGGGCGAGGACGGGGTGGGTGCCGTTTGGTGGCAGGGGGCTTCAGCCAGTGGGCAGCACTGCAAGAGAGGGGCTCCACTCAGAAGGACGGAGTGGGGCAGGCTGGGGAGGGAGGAATCCACCGGGGTTGTGATGGGGACCCCGGGATCGGAACCTAGAGACCCACTCCCGCTGCAGCCCATCAACTCTCTGGAGCCTGGCGGCAAGCAAGCTTCCTTTTACTGTAAGAAACACAAGCCACTGCTTCGGGTCACACAGCGAGGTGGAGCTGGGATGGAGCTTCGCTCTGTCTGATGCCACATCTGTGACTATTTTTATTACCTCTCCTTACTTCCCAATTGAAAAAAAGAAAACCCAGCAATTGAAAAGGATGGAAGACTCTGAGATGTGCAGTAGTAAATAACCCACAAAAAAGTTAATACACAAAAAGAATAAACTAAAAACGGGCACTATTTATTCAGAGCTTGGGACCAACTTGAGTCTACACCCGATGTATATTATTACTCCACAGCCCTTATTACATTTCTGCTTCTCTACTTTATGTGTTTGTTTATTGGTATAAATGACGTTCTCTCCCTCTGGGATGCAGCCCAGCAGGGACTGCCTTTTTCCAGAACAGTGTCTGGTACATAGTAGCTGTTCAACCAAATTGAATACCTGACTGCCTTTGCTAATCACTTGTGTGGTCCTAGGCATGTTACTTCAGGTGAAATACCTTTAATTTTTTTTGTAACTTTAATCTCTTTACAACTTTAATTTCCTTTTACAAATATACCAGTGCTATAAAATGCACTGGTATATTTGTAATAATGCCCAGCACTTAGTAGGTGCTTACTTCTGTGAGTAGATTCTGAAGAGACACGGTAGGAAATGGAAGCATGACTATAGCTGTCCCCGGCAGAAAAAGTGGGCACAACTGGGCTAAGCGAGGTTGGGTTGGGGCTGACCTGGGTGGGCGGGGCTGACCTGGGGTGGGCGGGGCTGACCAGGGACGGGGCGGGGCTGACCTGGGGCGGGGCGGGGCTGACCTGGGGCGGGGCGGGGCTGACCTGGGGTGGGCGGGCTGACCCTAGGCGGGGGAGGCGGGACTGAGGGATCTCTGGTGAGTAAGTTCAGGCAGCTCTTCGCTCCCAGAGTCTAAACCGGACACATGCAGTGCCCACGCCGGAGAAGGGCTGTGCGTACCTAATGGTCAGGTTCTCCATGACGCCGGGGAAGTGCTGCAGCTCATCTCGGAGCTCCTCAAAGGTGATGTCGCCGCTGCAGTCCTTGTCCGCAGACTCGAAGAGCGCCAGCGTCAGCTGGTCCAGCTTCTCCTCCGACAGCGAGATGGCGCTCTCCAGCAGGCAGGACTGCAGCACGGTGCGCAGCTCGTCGGCATCGATGGAGCCATTGCCTGTCCCAGGAGGGGATGACGCCAAGTGGGGGGCCTGCGCCCGGACCCCACTCTGTACCTGCAGACACCTCTGCCCTGCTCAGTCATTGCATAGAGTAGTGAACTTTTCCTGCTCGCCTACCTCAGTCTTCCTCCAACCAATTTCCTTTCGGGGTACAGACCAGACAGTCAAAGGACATGTGTCACCTCGGCTCACAAACCCTCCATGGCTTTCTATTGCCAAGCTCAACAGAGACAAACCCCTCCCCGAGCATGGAGAAGCTTTGGCCTCGGTGCCTGCCTGGCTGAAGAATCTGCAGCCGCCTCATTAAGCATCATTCGATGACCAAGACCAACTGTCCAGAAGATACACTCACTTGCTTAATCTATAAGAAGCTACGTGCTCAGAGTCTCAATTATCCACGGGCAAACTGTGTATGAGGTGGTGGTGAGGGGGGAGTTCCCTGTTGTGCCCTAACTTGCAGCAGGCTCTGCTCAACCATGTTGTCCTGAGAGGCCACAGCATGTGGACTTAATGTGAATATGAGTGGCTAAAAGTAATGTGAAAAGGAAGCCAAAACTACCAACTGAGATGAGTATTTGGAGCATTTTTTTTTCGTATGTATTTTCATTCTTCAAAAATTGCAAGACCCTTGATTGCTGATTTCTTGGCCTGCTTTGGATATAGACACACATGTAGCAACAAGCTCTGTCCCTTACTATCTGAGTGATGGTGAGCTGTAAGACCTTTACAGTAGTGAATGCTATTTTGCTCATCTTGAAAATGGGGATTGCCCTGACCGGTTTGGCTCAGTGAATAGAGCATCGGCCTGCGGACTGAAAGGTCCCAGGTTCGATTCCGGCCAAGGGCATGTACCTTGCTTGCGGGCACATCCCCAGTAGGGAGGTGTGCAAGAGGCAGCTGATCAATGTTTCTCTCTCATCGATGTTTCTAACTCTCTATCCCTCTCTCTTCCTTTCTGTAAAAAATCAATAAAATATATTTAAAAAAAAAAAAAGAAAAGAAAATGGGGATAATAAATCCTCCTTTTCAGAATTAATTATCGTCAAGGATGAGAGATAATTAATTATAAAGCACTTAACACAGTAAAAGAAGGTGGTTGCATATAAATGGAAAGTCTTATTGGCTTTGTGATCATCATTTGGGCCAAAGCCAAAGTCTGTAATCACATTACAGAGCAGAGTCTAACACATCACTCTCCAGCCGCACCTCCTGTCCTCAGCTTTCCTAGTCAAGAGCCACGGCGCAACAGGTTTCAGACTACATCCAGAGCACCAGTCCCTCCCTTACCCCTTCACACCCTCTCCTCCACCCAGCTCTCTTCTCTCCTTGGGCATTTGCAAATCCAGAGTCTATCCTTCACAATTATTCTCATGCACACACTCTTCTTTCTCATCCCTCTGTCCTATTCCACTGACCCTAAAAATACCCCATCCCTGGGTGAATCCAACCACCTGTTTTCTTCTTTCCTGTACCAGGGCAGCTAAGTGAACATTGCTGAAGACAGTCACCCAGGAGGGCAGGAATTGTTTGATCCCCAGACACAACAAGGCCTGCAACTTGCCCACAGTCCTCTCCTGCACCTCTCGTAAGGCCACGCTCCCGCTGTCTGCAAAGACCACTTCTTGCCTCCGTGCCCATCCAATCAATCCCTCCCTGGCTCTCAGTGAAAACTTGGGCCACTGGAAGAGAATGCCCTCTAGCTCTTTCTGTAAAACTACAAGCCTCCTTACACCTGCCCTGCCCTCGGTCTTCCTCCCCACCTCTGTCTGCAAGAGACCTTGAGTATGATGTAGGCCTGTGTTCTTCCTGTTACAGGACAACCGCTCCATCCTCAAGTCTTTGGAAAATCCCCAGGTATGAGCACAGCTTGGTGGTCAGAAAGCAGTCAGTAAAGAGGGCGCTGTGATGACTGGAGTGAGGTCTGAGGAAGATGCCCAGGAAGCAGCGTGGTCAGCTGCCCATGGAGTGGGCAGGCCAGTCAACTTGGGGAGTGGGTTCCAGGAATGAGGTCTGGCTAGATTGAGTCAGGTGGGCATGGGAGCTAGAGAAACCCCACAGGCCAGAGACCCTTGCCCAGCAGCAGATTTGCAGGTAGGTTGAGCTTTACAGGATGGAAATCGAGCCCTGTGACTGCCCTGCTCAGCACTGTTTGATGGTTTCCCATTGCTCATTCTACTGAGACTCCAAAACATGGCCCCCAGGGCCTGCACAGTATGACCTCACCCACCATTCCAGTCTCATTGGATGCTTCTTTCCCATTCCAGTTTCCTTTGCCCTGATGATTCCAGGCCTTCAGAAACCCTTAGGTTACAAAGTCACCAAATATGTAAAAACCAGGATGTTCATTTATAATGCCGCCCACAAGAAGAAGGGGGGAAGACAATTTCAATAATAAGGTTTGAATAAATAATAATAAATAACAGAGTGTATTCTATGCTAGGTACTGTTAGCTAAGTTAACTAATATAATCCTCAGATCAACTTCATGAAATGTACTATTATTATTATCATTATTCTCATGTGATAGGTGAAGAAATTGAGGCATAGAGAAGTGAAGTAACTTGCTCAAGGTCAAATTATTGGTGGAGCTGAGATTTGAACCTAAGTAATCTGGCCTCAGAGTCAGAGATCCTAACTATGTACTGGGCTATGCTATATGGAACATAGGACCACATATGTACAGTGGCATATGACACAGCCACTTAAAATGATGCTATAACTACATTGAGTTACCACTTCACACTCACCAGGATGGCTATTATAAATGAAAATAAAAAATGCTGGCAAGGCTGTGAAGAAATTAGAACCCTTGTGCTAGTGGGTATGTAAAATGGTGCAACTGCTATGGATAAGAGTATGGTTCCTCAAAAAATTAAAAATAGGATTTCCCTATGATCCAGCAATTCCATCTCTGGGTATATGCCAAATGAATTAAAATTGGAATGTCAAAGAGGTATTTGTACACTCATGTTCATTTCAGCATTGTTCACAATATTTGAGAGGTAAAAAAAACTCAAGAATCCATTGATGGATGAATGAATAAACAAAGTGTGGTATATACAGACAATAGAATATTGTTTAGTTTTTTTTAAAAAATGAAATCTTGTCACCTAGTTCATGGATAAACCTTGAAGTCATGATGCTAAATGAAATAAGCCAATCACAAAAGGGCAAATATTATGTGATTCCGCTTATATGAGATACCTAGAATAGTCAAATTTTTAAAGACAGATAGTAGAATGGTGGTTGCCAAGGATGAGGGCAGGTGGAGGGAGAGGATGGGAGTTAGTGTTTAATGGGTCCAGGGTTTCAGTTGGGAAAAATGAAAAGTTCTGGAGATGGATGGTGGCGATGCTTGCCCAACAATGTGAATATACTTAATGCTGCTGAATTGTACACTTAAAATGATTAGAGTGATAAATTTAATGTTATGCATATTTACTACAATGAAAAATGATGTTATAAAACAATATAGTCTCACATGAACCAAATGTTCATATTGTTAAATAGTGATAAAAGGTAGCCTGTATAGTATAATCCTATCTAGTTAAAAATGTGTGTCTGTGTGTGTGTGTGTGTGTGTGATCAGTTAGAAGATAGTATAGAGAAATGTTCTGGGTAATTTTTGCTTTTTTCTTTAAACTATTTTGTACTATCTCAAATGTTCATAGCAGGCTTGTGTTATTGTTACAAGAAAAAAGTAACAAAGATTTTTTTTTTCCAATCAGAGAAAAAGACAAAGGACAACTCTGGTCTCAGGTGAGTTGAATCAAGGGCATTTGTCTCAGGGGCCAGTCTCCCCTTCTCTCCACCCACAAAAAGGAGGCAGGGACCAGACAGAACGATAGGGCAGGGGGACCCACAGAGGGAGAACCATCAGCCTCGCCTGGAGAAAACAGCCCTGTGTTGGGCACAGCACTGAGATGGGCTGATTCCCTCTCCCCTCCCCACCCCCCCATGGAGTCCCCCTGACCCCTACAAAGAGCCCTTACCATCGACGTCATACACCTGGAAGAGGAATTTGAGTTTGTCCATGGGGTTGCCGTGGATGAGCAGGGTCAGTGCCTCCTGCAGCTCCTGCAGGGTGATGGTGCCACTTCCATCCGAGTCAAACAGGGCGAAGAACCGCTCAGCAAAGAAGGACTGTGGCCATAGAAGGGCGGAGACAGACACAAGTGTGGCAAGTGTGGCTGCAGGGCCTGGGCTTTGAATTCACTCAGCGTGTGTGTGTGTGTGTGTGTGTGTGTGTGTGTGTGTGTGTGTATATGTACACCTCGGGGTGATGGGATTCAGTCAGGACCCAGTTTATATCTGCCCATGAGGCCACACCAGGGTGCAGTGTCCATGGCCCATCCTGCCTGCTGAGAGCAAGGTTGGGCTCTAGTGGACGAACTGTTCGGAGCCCTGCAGCAAGGACGGACTTGTGTATGGGGCTCAGGCCCCCTTCTAGCCTCTCGGACTGGTCATTTGTGTAGGCTCTCTGCCATCACCCCCATCAGCCTTGCAGTCCAGACCTCTGGTGGCCTCTTACTTCACATGGGGAAAGGGTCAAATTAGGGTCCTCCTACAGGCTCCCCCAGGTCCTCTCCATCCCCTTTGGGGTCACCACCAGGGATAAGTGAACCCAGGAAGAACTTATAGAGTAGATGTCACCTGCCTTTTCCTTTGCTTGTTTTGGCTGCCTATGGCCTACACTTAGGATTGTTCTTAAGTGCCAATTCACCCATTCATCCATCCATCCATCCATCCATCCATCCATACATCCATCCATCCAACAATCATGTCCTGCATAGCCCCTGCTTGCCAGGCCTGGTGTTAGACACTGGGAAAGACAGGTATTAAAAGAAAACCTGGGCTGGATCAGTGTCCCAGCTACCAGTATGCTGTGCTCTGGATGCTTCCCTCAAGGCAGGGAGAGAAGCCTGCAGGGCTCCTGTTTCTGACCTAAAGAAACCATGAGTTCACATGAAGCATGAAGTCAGCTATGAACAGTCAAGCCTGCCTTGGCTTTATTGGTACTCTTTCCCCCCTGGATCCATTGAGTAATGCCTTATCATTCTCTACCTTCCTGAATGGCCTTTATCTTAAAACATTTTACAGCCTCCTGTTACCATGGTAATGTATTGTCAGGCAGAAGGTCTTTTTTTCTTCCCCACAATTACAATGGAAGGAGGCAGAGCATTTAGAGTTCTTTGCAATGTCCCAGGTACCAGCAAGTGAGGAACTCTCTGATCCAAAAAGGGGCATTCAAATGCTCATTGGCTCCCCCTTATCAAGGACGTAGGCCATCATCTGAATGCCAGCCCAGAGGACAATTGGGGAGAAGTTGGCATTTGCAGGCTCAGTCCTGCTGTTTTCTCTGCTAGTGTCACCACTGTCAGGTATGCAGGTTGTTATGGGGATTGGCAGAGGACCCCCCAAATCGAGGGAAGACTGGGAAGGATGTGGCAGCGGGAGAAGCTCATTTCCTAGAAGGAGGCTTACATCATAACATCAACTCTCCTCCTCACCCAAGCCTGCTCAGAAGTGAAGCCTCAAGCCCAGAGAACCCAGAGGGGACCTTTTCCTCCTTGTGAGGCACTGTGTCCTGGGAACCAGATTGTCTTCCTCTGTAAACACAGTCCCCACTTCTGGAGTGGACACTTGCCTCTTTCACATTCAGGGCTGTTTTGAATTCTTGCCGGTCTTCTCCAGCAATGGTCTCAAACTGGTGTGTCACCCACTGAAGCCACTTAGCATCCTCCTTGGCACTCATGATACTCATGATACTGAGAGACAAAGGAGACAGGTTTATGAGTTTGGGATGGTCTCGGGCTTACAGTGGTCCCAGGACCTCTAACTAGGGCCACGGGCCTCCCAAGGGGTTGAATCAACTTGGGCCATGGAAGAGGCGCCTCCACACAGGTGTTTCTTTATGTCTTTAAGACCCTGTCTCTTCCTTCCATCTAGCATCATTTGGCCCAGGCTTGTGTCTTTTCAGGTTCTGGAATGATGGGGCCCCAGTGAAATGAACCGTAAACTATAGGTATAAGGTTGGAGAATGGCATGCTCCCAGAGTGCTGTTAAGAGGATGACAATGACTTTCAGCTCTATACTGTCTTCCAAATACTTCCCACCCACTACTTATTTTGGTCTCTGTGACTGAAGCATAGTAACCTCCATCTTGGGTAAAAACTGCTGTTTAAAATTTTAACCCTGCTATTCCGGCTTCTGTAAATATTTGCTTGCTTAAATAATAGAGAAAAATAAGATTACTCCCATTCCAGAGAGGCCATAAACTATGCCCCAGACAGAGTTGTCAGTGCTGGTGCCAGGCCAGACCTTGAGATGTGGTCTCACGGCCCTTTCCCAGCACACAGGACCTCTTTCTCAGAAGGTCCAGAAGTCTCATTCCAAATTTGGAAAACAAAGAACGGAAAAACATATAAATAGGAAAGACTTCCACCATATTGGGCCCCAGAATTTGAGAAGCAATATTTCCTCTGGGCCTGTTAGCACTAGCGAAATGAAAAAGACTCCAAATAAATTTGGCTTACTGATTAAGGCATCTTCTGATTTACAATATAACATGACAATCTGTTGGACTATGCCATTTTATAAGGAGGAAATAAGCTCAGAGCAGTTGAGTAATTCAGCAAAAGTTATTCACAGAGTTCAAATCCAAGGCCAGTGTTTTTTCCATCATGCCCCAGAGCCTCCACCCTCTGCTTGAACACTTCTAATACAAGCTACACCAAGACTCAGACCTCAGGTTTTGACCCTCTAAGTCCAAGACTTATTCTACAATAACCCAAGGGTATCACCTGTTTAAAACCCTCAGAGGTGAGCTAGCTATCCAGTGATCTGAACAGAGGTAAAAAAGAAGGATCTCTTACCCTTTGAGATAGCATGAAAGAACCTGGGGAGTATTATACTAAGTGAAATAAGCCAGTCAGAGCAAGATAAGTATCACATGGTCTCACTCATGTGGAATATAATGAACAAAATAAGCTGAAGAATAAAATAGATCCAGAGACATTGAAACATGGAACAGACTGATGAATCTCAGAGGGAATGCAGGGGAGGAGGATGGGTAGGGAGAGATTAACTGGGGAACTTAGTTAACAGAATGATAGTGACTTTTCCAGCAAGGCTATCATTCAAAATAGATGATGAAATAAAGAGCTCCCCAGACAAAAAATGGCTAAAGGTGTTTATCACCATCAAACCAACACTGCAATAAATGCTAAAGGAACTGCTGTAATGAGAAGAAATATATAGAGAGAGAGAAACATAGGCATAAAGAATTAAAATGGGCCCAGCTGGTGTGGCTCAGAGGTTGAGCATTGACCTATGAACCAGAAGGTCACAGTTAAATCCTGATCAGGGCACATGCCTGGGTTGCAGGCTTGATCCCCAGTAGGGGGCATACAGGAGGCACCAATAGATGATTCTCTCTCATCATTGATGTTTCTCTCCCTCTCCCTTCTTCTCTGAAATAAATAAAAATATTTTTTTTAAAAAAAGAATTAAAATGACAATAAATAAGCACCTATCTATAATAATAAAAGTGTAATATGCTAATTAGACCAGACATCCTTCCAGATGTCTTTCCAGACTACCCTCTGGACAAAGCCAGGAAGCTGGGGTCCCGGGTGCCAGAGGGAAGCCGGTGCCGGCAGCCAGGGGAAGGAAAGCCTACTCTTGCATGAATTTTGTGCATCAGGCCTCTAGTTAATAATAACCTTAAATGTAAATGGATTAAATACTCCAATAAAAAAATAGGGTAGCTAAGTGTATACAAAACCATGAGTCAATTATATGCTGTTTATAAGACCCCCCTCAGAACAAAAGACTCACACAGGATGAGAGTGAAGGGATGGAAAAATTTGTCCATGCAAATGGAAATGAAAAAAAGCTGGGGTAGCAATACTCATAGTTGACAAAATAGACTTCAAAATGAAGGCTATCACAAGAAACAACAAAGGTCACTACATAATATTAAGGGGATCAATCCAATAAAGGTAAACCCTGGTAAACATATATGCACAATACAGGAGCACCTAAATATATATAAAAACTTCTAGATGACTTTAAGGGAGAGATTGACAGCAATACAGTCATAGTAGGGGACTTTAACACCCCAGTGACTTCACTGGATAGATCTTTCAGACAAAAACTTAATAAGGAAACAGAGAATCTAAATGACTCACTGGATCAGATGGATTTAATTGACATTTATAGAACATTTCACCCCAAAGCAGCAGAATATACATTCTTCTCAAGTGCACATGGGTCATTCCCAAAGATAGACCACATGTTGGGACACAAAGTCAGTCTCTACAAGTTCAAGAAGATTGAAATCATATCAAGCATCTTCTCAGATCACAATGGGATAATTTAGAAATCAACTACAGGTAAAAACACTGAAAAACATTCAAACACATGGAGGCTAAACAGCATGTTACTAAACAATGAATGGGTTACCAATGAGGATAAGAAATAAATAAAAAACTTCCTGGAAACAAATGAAAATGAACACACAACAACCCAAAATCTATTAGACACAGTAAACGCAGTCCTGAGAGGGAAGATCATAGAACTAAGGCCTATCTCAAAAAATAAGAAAAATTAATAATAAACGATTTAACCCTACAACTTAAAGAATTAGAAAGAGAACAATAAGAAAAGCCCAGAGTAAGTATAAGGAAGGAAATAATAAATTAATGACAGAAATTAATGACAAAGAGGCTAAAAAAAATACCAAAAAAATCAATGAAATCAAGAGCTGGTTCTTTGAAAAGATAAACAAGATTGATAAACCTTTAGCCAGATTCATCAAGAAACAAAGAAGAGGATTCAAATAAAATCAGAAATGAAAGCGATAAAGTAACACCTGACACCACAGAAATACAAAGGATTGTAAGAAAATACTATGAACAACTATATGCCAGTAAGCTGGACAATGTGGATGAAATGGACAAATTCCTAAAAAAATACTATCTCCAAAAACTGAATCAGGAAGAATCAGAAAACCTGAATAGGCCAATAACAACTAATGAAATACAAGCAGTAATTAAAAAAAAAAAACTCCCAGCAAACAAAAGCCCTGGTCTGGATGGCTTCACAGGGGAGTTTTACCAAACCTTCAAAGAACAATTAACACCTATCTTCCTCAAACTATTCCAAAAAATCCAAGAGGAAGGAACACTTCGAAGCTCTTTTTATGAGGCCAGCATTATTCTAATTCCAAAACCAGATAAAGACACTTCAAAGAAAGAGAACTACAGGCCAATATCCCTAATGAACATAGATGCTAAAATCCTCAACAAAATATTAGCAAATCAGCTCCAGCAATATATTAAAAAGATCATGCACCATGATCAAGTAGGATTTATTCCAGGGATGGAAGGCTGATACAATATGTGAAAATCAATAAACGTGATGCATCACATAAATTGAAAGGCAAAAATCACATAATCATATCAATAGACACACAAAAAGCATTCTATAAAATCCAACACCCATTTTTTATTTAAAAAAAACACCAAACTCCTAGCAAAGTGAAAATAGAGGGATCATATCTCAACAGAATAAAGTCCATATATGACAAACCTACAGCCAACATCATATTGAGTGGGAAAAAACTAAAACCATTTCCCCTAAGAGCAAGAACAAGACAGGGATGTCCACTTTCACCACTCTTAATCAACATAGTACTGGAAGTCCTAACCACAGAGATCAGACAAGAAAAAAATAAAAGGCATCCAAATTTGAAAGGAGGACGTAAAACTCTCATTATTTGCAGATGATATGATATAGTACATAGAAAACCCTAAAGACTCCACCAAAAAAACTACTAGATTTAATAAAGGAATTCAGCAATGTAGCAGGATACAAACTCAACACCCAGAAATCAAAGGCATTTTTATACACCAATAATGAATTGTAAGAAAGATAAACTAAACAAATAATTGCATTTACAAAAAAATTAAGATACTTAGGAATAAACTCAACCAAAGAGGTAAAAGACTTGTACTTGGAAAACTACAAGTTCACCCAGAAATCAAAGGCATTTTTATACACCAATAATGAATTGTAAGAAAGATAAACTAAACAAATAATTGCATTTACAAAAAAATTAAGATACTTAGGAATAAACTCAACCAAAGAGGTAAAAGACTTGTACTTGGAAAACTACAAGTTGGTTCTTTGAAAAGACTAAATAGAAAATCATGATTAAAGAAAGAAAGTGAAACAAACAAAACAAAAACATTATCATTAACAAAGACAATAGAACTCAAGAAAAAGTAGGGCTACAGAAATATAAGAGCATCAAGTGCAAATGTTGGTGAATTTAGAGAAATGAACTAATCTCAAGAAGTAACAACTTGAACTTACCAATAATCATTTAAGAAATTAGAAAGGCAGTTAAATGTCAACCACTTAAAATAATGTTAGACCTACCTTGTTTTTATAACTGAGTTCAATCTAATCTTCAAAGAATAAGTCCAATATCAAACTATCTCAGACTATCCTATCTAATAAAGAGGGAATATGCTAATTGACCCTCACGCCATTGCAAAAGATGGGGGCGCCCACAGCCAATAAGGAGGGAATATGCTAATTGACTGCCACGCCTTCAAAGATGGCAGCGCCCACAGCCACAAGATGGCAATGCCCAGTCCCCTCAGCCCTGCCGGGGTGGCAGGCATGTGACAAGGCCAGGCCTGCCCCTAGACGGGCCTGGCCTTGCCGCGCACCTGCCTCCAGAGTCCCCCAGTCCCCTCAGTCCCCCAGCTGCCCAGGGCCAGCCCGAGGCGCAGGCAAGCCTCGGATGGTGGCTGCCCAGCCGCTCAGAGCTGGCCCAAGGCACAGGCAAGCCTCGGCTGTTGGCTGCCCAGCCACCTAGGGCCGCCCGAGGCTTGTGCTGCTGACAGTGGCAGCAGCAGAGTTCTGATGGGGGCATCGCCTTCCCCTGATTGCTGGGTTGCCTCCCACCCCTGAGGGCTCTCAAACTGTGAGAGGGGGCAGACCGGACTGAGGACCCCCACTCCAGTGCATGAGTTTTCATGCACTGGGCCTCTAGTCCTATATAATAAAAGGCAAACAGACCAAATGACAGAAAAACCGAACAACCAATCAAAACGTAATTGCTAATGATATGCTAAGGCTGCTCAACAGCTCGCTATGATGTGCACTGACCACCAGGGACAGGCAGTCAACTGATCGACTAGTCTCTATGAAGTGCACTGACCACCAGGGAGCAGATGCTCTGACTGGTAGGAGCATCTGGGGTCTGGCTGATCGGGACTGAGTGAGATGGGCCGGACATGCCCTGGAGCCCTCCTGTGGTCCCTCCCCGGCCCAATTCCACAGGCCACTCCCCTTGGGAGGGTGCCAGACACAGGGCTCATGGGACTGATTGGGTGCAAGCCCGCGGCAGGCACAGTGGGGCTGGGATGAGCGGGAACAGCAGGTAGGAGCTGCAGGTGGCATTGGAATGAGGGTTTTGGCCCGATCCCTGCAGGCCACCCAGAGGGACCCCACCCGTGCACGAATTTGTGCACTGGGGCTCTAGTAGAAAATAATAGTAAGATTTACAACTTATTTTGCAAAGCTAGTGTACAAAAAAAATTCTAGACAAATTTAACTTATAGAGATGCAAAACTCAAACTAAAATATAACCAACCTAAATCCTGAAGTCTAATTTAAAATTAATAATCCACCGTCATCAGGAAAGGCTTACTCCAGTAAAATAAGGATACTGAGTGACTATTAGGAAATCTCTCCACAGCCTCTGCAGCAGAGCAGTGGTCTGCTAGAGAATAGTGGTCCCACCACCCCTGCCCCGCCCCCCCCCCCAAAAAAAAGGTAAGAAAAGAAAACAATAACAAAGAATAGTGGTTCCCAAGCTGTCTGATGTGTGCTTGTCAGAAACAGGGAAAGTTTGCTAAAATGCAACTTTGGGGTGGGACCCAAGAATCTGCACATTTAACCAACACCCTGGATGTTTGTGACCCATAGTACTGGGTCACATCTGCAGAAACGAACCGCTGCCCTGAGGGTTCATCAGTTCTCACTCTTTCTTGACCTCGAAAGACCTCACAGGAAGACATTCCAGAAAGCAGAGAGAACTCTGGAAAATTCACTGCATAAAAGTGCTAATTAACCCAGGAGGGTGGAGGTGGGGTATTTGGGGTTCACCTCCCTCTTCTCAGAAATATTAGTGTCAGCCTGCAGAATGAGAAGGTAATTCTGGGAAGGGATGGAGAAGAGACTGAAACAGCTGGTGACAGGTAGTGGATGAGGGCATGGGGGGCGGGGGAGGGCAGCACCGACGGAGACGAAGTCCTGACAAGAGCTGGGGCTCTTCAGAGTCCAGACCTCCAGGGAATAACATGTTCACAGAGGCCAGAACTGTCCTCAGGAGACCAGGATTACAGGTCCAGGCTGGCTTCACACCAACTGAGTTGCTCACCCACTGCACTCTAGATTCCCTCTATAAAATGTGACAAGCATCCCTCCAACTAAGGACTGCCCTGAGGACCAAATGAGATGCTATTCAGGAAAGTTCAACTGGCAAGCACTATATAAAGGCTAGCTCTTGTTATTAGTCTCCCTTGGCCAATTCCTTATTTTACAGATGAAAAAACAGGCCCAGAAAAGACTGGTGATTTACCCAAGATCACACAGTTTGGTAGTAACCTGGCAAGAGCAGAGCTCGGGTTTCCTGACTTCTGTCCCAGGCAGACACAGTCACTCCTTGTAGATGCCCCAAAAGGCCAAGAACCCTTGCTTTCCCTTGTCCCTGACATGGAAAGCTTGACAAAGAGCCACTCACCCTCTGCAGCCTTCAGGTTCTGTCTGGGCTGGGTCTCCTGGCGTGATCATCCTTTCTCCTGTCTTCTAGAGAACACAGGTCCCAGAGAAGCTGCTGTCCATACAGCAGCCTGGGTGTTGGATCCCACGACTCACCTCTCCCCCAACTCCTCCTTTTCCTGACTTCCTAAATAGTTGGCCACACCCATAGCTCCTCTGTCATTCATGTGATGGCTAGTGGCTGGCTTGGTCCAGAGAAATTCCAACAGGGAAGGCTGGTGCAGAGGTGGGGCAAGACGTTCACTGGGAAGAATTTTGGCTATCTTTCTCCTGGCCCAGTATCTTCCACTTTCCCTCCCTCAAGGAGAGTGCACAGATGTGAGAACTAGAAACGTACCATGGAAAAAATCACCCATAACTCAAGTCAGGCCCTACTCGGTGCCAGGAGGAAATGAAGAGCATCTTGTTTTTCTCCCACAAGGGTTTGCACTGTGATGACAGCATGTTAGGAGTTCGGCCTCATGATCTGAGCTTAAGTTTGCCTTGTCTTAGAATCAGGATTGGAAAGCCCTTCAAGGTCATAGACTTCAACCAATCCTTTTTTCACTTCCATCTCTCTTCCACCCTCCCCCAAGCACACCTGTGGTCACTGGTCCTGACATGCATGCCTCCAGTCATAGAGTGCTCACTGGCTTGAGAAGCAACAATGGTTTGTGTGGGGTTGGAGGGGGGAGGAGAGGGGTGGGGGAAAGGCTATTTTGACTGTTCAAATATTCTTCCTCATACTAGGGTAAAGACAGAAATAGAAACAATTCTATTAAACACTTTCAGAAATGAAGTGTAGTAAATGGAAAATTCTTTTGAAAAACAATTGAGCCAAGAGGTAAATATGAATTACGCTTTCAAGTTATGGCCAATTAAGGGAGAAAAAGAAGAATGAGAAAAGGTGAAAGAGTTGCCAGTATATCGTCATTGTAATATTACGTGCTTCTCTCTGGCTACCCCACTGGACTATGAGCAAGGTCGGTGCCTTGTTAATGTAGAATCCCAGGAAACTAGCACTGTGCTCAGCACACAGTGGGCATTCCAAGGGCATTTGTGGAATGAATAAACCAGCCACCATTCAACTAATACTTACAAAATACTTACCATGTGCAGGTCCTGTCTGAGTACACAAAGATGAGCAAAATAATCCAACACGACAAAGGCGGATACAGAAGTGTGCCAAAAAGAGAGCAACAGCACTTTCCAGTGGAAGTGACTGATCTGAAATGGGTTTTAGAGTGTGAATAGGAATTTGCCAGGTGGAAAGGGAGAGAAAATTCTGAGCAGCTGGAAGACCAAAAACAAAGGAGTGAAGTTGCGAGTGCATTCTGTGTTTAGGGAACTCGAAGCAGTTCAGGTATAACTAAATCCCATGGGAAGGGACAAGCTTGCAAGCAGAACTGGAGCGGGAAGCAGCAGCAGTCAGATCATGAAGGGTCTGGAATGAGGCAAGTTAAAGAACTAGGATTCTCTCTGGGAGCTGGTGAAGAAGGTAAAAATGTTAAGCAATGGCCTTGGCATGTGTTGCTCAGTTGGTTGGGCATCATCCTGTGCACTGAAAGGTTGCAGATTCAATTCCCTCTTGGGGCACATGCCCAGATTGTGGACTCCATCCTCAGTAGGGGGCATGCAGGAGGCAGGTAGGGGGCATGCAGGAGGTAGCTGATTGATGTTTTTCTCTCTCTCTGCTTTCCTCTTTCAAAAAAATCAGTTAAAAGGTTTTGTTTTTTGGTGGTGGTGGTGGTGGTGGTGGTGGTGTGTGTGTGTGTTTTAGCCCTAGCTGGTTTGGCTCAGTGGATAGAGTCTCAGCCTGAGGACTGAAGAGTCCTGGGTTTGATTCTGGACCAGGGCACATGCCTGGGTTGCAGGCTCGATTCTCAGTGTGGGACATGTAGGAGGCAGCAGATCAATGATTCTCTCATAGCATTGATGTTTCTATCTCTCTCTACCTTTTCCTTCCTCTCTGAAATCAATGAAACTATATTTTTTATAAATCTTTTTTTTTAATGTTAAGCAATGGAGCAACATGATCAGATGCTTGCCGAACTTTAGACAGATAAAAAACTACTTCATATCCTAGTATCTGGACAAAATGCAAGTTTTTAAAAGGAAGATGTTAAATATTGTGAACAAATATTTTATTTATTTATTTTTTAATTTATTTCAGAGAGAAAGGAGAGGGGGGCGAGATAGATAGAAACATCAATGATGAGAATCATTGATTGGCTGCCTCCTGCACACCCCACACTGGGGATCAAGCCCAAAACCTGGGGATGTGCCCTGACAGGGAATCAAATTGTATCCTCCTGGGTCATAGGTTGGCGCTCAATCACTGAGCCATGGTGGCTGAGCTGAAATTTTATTTTTAAAAGCATCTTTTAACAAACACACTGGAAGGACAGAGGTTTCTCCCCAATAACATTTTTGTATGGTTACAAAAATTATAAGCATTAATTATAAAAAATTAGAAAAATACCTAAGAGCACAAAAGGAGATTTTTAAAATGCCACCCACCCAGATAAAATCACCGCTAAAATTGAATGTTTCTCTGTAGTTACATGCAGAAGGTAACACAGTATAGAATTCAGAGTGGGGCTGTGTCTGATGAACTCATTCACAAGAGCTGCTTTGCTTGTAGCAAGGGGGCCAGTGAAGAGAACGGTGTAAGTGGAGAGTTTGGAGTGGCACCTGAGAGGAGGGGGAGGAAAGCATGGTTCTGTTCTTCAGCCTGCCCTTGACCTCTGGTCTGAGGTCTCTGAAGAGAGGAGTTGTCAATCAATTTTGACCAAGAACTCAAGGCAAACAGAAGCTTTTTTGGGGGTCTTAGGAATTGCAATTGGGTGACACAGATTTGGGTAAAAACCCAGCTGTGTTCCAAGGAGGAAAGAGAGACAGAATGTATAAAGACAGAAAAAGGGGGACTCCCAAAGGGAGAGTTATGCAAGTTGTTTTGAAAGAGCTGTGATTAGTGCTGGCAAGCTCACTTACTCTGTACTATATATGACTAATGGCTTATGACTATTGCTAGGTGAAAATTTTATTTATCAGTAGAGAGTTCAGTGACGCAGAGCCAGTTCCAGGAATTGTATCAGGATGTAGCCATTTATAATTTATCTCAGTTTCCTAGGAAGGGTGTGAGCTCAGCTTCCTAGAGCCCTCTTGATTCCACAGGTTGCTCTCCCTCTTTTGCAGGGAATTCAGGTGGCTGGTACTGTTTGAACTCTGTGGTCTTGCATATTTGGAGGCCCAGGAGATCAACCCTGTACTAGGAAGTACTTTCCAAAAAGACACCAGCTACAGACAGTGGGAAGAGAGATGTTTACTTTCAATATAGCCAGATTGTGTCCCAAAAATCTTGAACCAATTTTCACCCTCCCCCTTGTTTGAAGAGAATGCCTGTTTCACCACACACTTATGAATACTTATCTCTTATTTGTCAACTAGACACACACACACAAAAGAGGGATATCTTGCAGATTTTATTTGCCTTTCTTGATTAGAAGCATCATCGTCAAAGGAAAAATCATGAAAGCGTCTTTTCCTCATTTCTTGGGTGAAGTGGAGCATATTTTCTACACTGATGATACAGAGCATCTTTTAGATAGCCATGCTCCCAATAGGTTGATTTTTAAAATAAAGTACTTTTTTTTGGTCAAAGGCATTACATATTTTGCTTGAGTCCTATCTCAGATTATTATTTTATTCTTAGGCCTCATTTTAAGTCCCAAGTCTGTAGCTCATGGGTTTTCCCTTTTTGCTGTAGGTGTAGATACTACTATGGCCAGAATGAGCCAGGAAAAGCAACTGAGGTGTGGACAAAGGCAGGGGAGACGATGGGTCACCTGCCTGCGCTCCTGCATGTGGCTGCCCATCACCTGTGCCCTGGAGCCCCCTCATCCCCTGACCCACTCAAAGATCGTGACCAGCAATTATCTCCTTGCTTTCTGCATCATTTCCCCCTTCTCTGCTCAATCATTCTTCCTCCAGTTATTGACTAATTTCTTCTTAAGAGTAAAATTCCCTGAAGAAGTTACCTATACTCAGTCTCTACTTATTCATTTCTCTTTTTGTGTGGGAGAAACCTACTCCAATCAGACTCTATGCCCTTAAGAAACCCTTCTCAATAAGATTACCAATAACCTCCTCATGGCCAACTCCAGTGATCATTCTCAGTCCTCAGCGGCATTGGACAAAGGTGAGAACTCTTTCCTTCTCAATCCTCTGTACTTGATTTCCAGAATCCTGCCCTGTCCTGGTTTCCTTTCTAACTCACTGACTCCTTCTCAGTGTCCTGCCTCATTGATGCAGCCTGCTGTCCTTTTATCTGACCTTTGAAAGTTGGGCTCAGTCTTCAGACCTCTATATATTTTTTTTAGCCTAAAATTTTTATATTTAGAATTAGCCAGCTGGACTCAATTTAGATGATCCCAATTTTGTTAGCAACATCCAAAGCCTCATAGTCAGGAACCAGTCAAAATATGCCTTCTTCTCGCCATCAGGCCTGATCAGGGTGATGACCTTGGCCACGTCAATGTCATAGAGCTTCTTCACGGCCTGTTTGATCTGGTGCTTGTTGGCCTTGACATCCACAATGAACACCAGTGGTTTGTTGTCCTCTATCTTCTTCACAGCTGACTCGGTCGGTGGTCAGGGGAACTCAATGATGGCCCAGTGGTCAAGCTTGTTTCTCCTGGGGACACTCTTCCGAGGATATTTGGAAGGTGGGTGACGTGCAGATCTTCGTTTTTATGTGGCTGTGGACGCCTTTCAACACTGCTTTCTTTGCCTTCAAAGCCTTTGCTTTGGCTTTGGCTTTGGCTTTGGCTTTGACTTTGGGAGGGGAAGGAACTTCCTTCTTCACTTTCAGTGCCATCTTTGTGAAAAAAGGCCTCATTCCCCTCCCCCTCCCCCATCTAGATTAACTCCCTCAATTAGCTAATTTAGCTTCATGGTTTTCAAGAGCATTAACAAGAACATGACTCCTACCCCAAGCTACTGATCCTCATTACCCTGCTCTCCTTTCTTCTTTCCAGACATGTATCATCTTCTCACATGCTATATCACATGCTTCTTTATTATGTTTATTGCTTTAT